TGATAATTGAAATGACAGATCATTTGTCATTTGTCATTTGAGTCATTTGCCAGTCATAATCATTTGGCAAACACTGATTCCTCTAGCTCTATCTATAATAAATATTTTATTATAAATGCTATAGGTTAAGAATTTAATGTAGCTGAACTAATTAATAACTATGTTAATATGCATAAACCTGGTTTATTAATTTGTTGATTAATATTAATCATGCTTTATTACTATAAACATCAAAGATATAAAAAAATAAAATAAAACTAAGGATTAACAGAAATTTAACTTTTACTAATAGATTTATAATAGATATTGTCTCAGGTTATAGGAATTCTTATATAAATAAAGAAGTAATTAATTGAAATTTAACAAATTAGATAATTAGTAATAATAATTGTATTATAAGATACCTTTATAACTTTAAATTATCTTATCAAAAAAGAAGTAATTCTATTTTAATATTTCTAAAAGTATTTTTACTTAATTCAAAGTCATATTGTTAAATATTCTAGTCATTCTTAATATATTGTCAATTGCCTGGCAAAACTGAGATGATAAAGTTTCAAATTTTTGATGGGTAGTAAACCCGTCAAAACTTTACAATAAAATAATTAATATTCCCTTCAGGTAAATTTTAATTCTTCTAAATTGAATCATGTCTGAACCTCTGTTTAGTCCGAAAAAATCTCAAAGATCAAGTTGTTAATCCGTTAAAAATTTGAAATTTAGTTTAAATTAAATCTCCGTCGAAACCCGTCCCGCTTCATTTGTTATTGGAATTTTTGTGAGATTGTTTAATTAAAGTTTATGTACAGAACATCATGATTAACCAATTATAATTCATGATTCGATGTACAAAATTGAATATAATTGATACATCAAAAAAAAGTTGGTTTTTCTATTATTTTTGTTTTATTCTTTACTCTGTATTTTGTATTACAATTTAATAAAGTTACTGGAAGTGTCACATCGTTAAAAAAATCTACAAAAAAGTTGGTGCATGTGATGCAAATTTGGGGAGGAAATTGCCGGAAAAAATAAAAATAAATTAATGGCAATTTTTTTCCGTTTCAGACAATTTTTGCTGTAAATTTTATGTAATAGATTGGCTAAAATGATATTTAAACATCAAGTCACGTGCTTTAGTGGTTTAATTAATCTCCAGTTTATTTAAAGTAAAACCAAAAAAAAAAATAGCCTAAGCTTTTTTGAACGTTTCTAACCAGAACTTCCAGAGAACGGAAACCTTTAAACATGTTAAATAATGTCTTAAAGAGTCATAAGGTTTGCAAATAAATGGACTAAAGGAAGTATGGAGAAATTGATTTGAAGATGATTTTTGGTCTACATCTACAAGTCATAAAAGCATTTATAACCGAAAATTGTGTTAGGTAAAAGTTCTATATTTCGGGTAATGATATAAAGAAAAATGGACGAATGAATAATATCATACTAATATGGTTATGAAACGAGCGATTTTTAAAAGTCGCGTATTATTGTATAATCGCGTCGTAAAGTAACGAAATTATATAGTAAAATGTATTAGGTATAAAAAAATTTTTTCTTTTATAAATTTTATAGCGAAAAAAAACTTATTAGCATTAAAAAGATTGAAATAATTTTTAACAATATGTGTATAATTTATAAATTTAATTTTTCAACTTTTATAATTAAATAGTTCGTGATTTAGATTTATGTTTTGAAAAGTAAATTTTATTAACTAATTATAAATTCAGAAATAATTTTAAAGAAAATAACAAATATTGTCCTTAAATTTTCTATTTTTTAATGTTTATTATAAGATTTGGGTCGGGTGTTACTTTTGACGCGAGTCAAAGTAAAATTTTACTAATACAGAATTATTAAATTTATTTTTTATTTTGAAATTTCTTAACGAAAAACAATAAATTTATTAAGAATAAAGCAGAACACTTAAATCTTGCCGGTAAAACTACCTGTAAATGATAAATTTAGACTAAGTATATTCCAATACAATTTAAGAACATCGGAATACTTGGTAGAGAGTGGTGAATCTTGAATTGGCCCATTCTCGGCAACAATATTTTGTCCTGCGTCCAAACAAGACTTAATGGCCATAGGAAGCACTTGACCTATCTCATTACCGATAAGAAATCTTTGTGATTGTGGCAAATTAATATTTGGATTATACGGCTCCAAGGTAAGTCCACAATTACGTTTGTAGTTAACGGCAAAAAATTCAAGTCCATCTTTGTTTAAGTTAACAATGCTGTATTTCATTGCCAAGCTTCTTTAATATCCAGGATTGGCCATCACCTCGCGGGCGAAGCACAATTTTGTTAGTTGCGTTGCTTGCCATCCAAAAAAGTTTTGCATTTCCAAATGCTTGAATTAGGACTGATCTAGTCATATTCTAAAAAATCATAAAAAAGAAATTTATTATTGATGCATAAAAAAATAATTACAAGTATTTAACTAAAATATTTACATCTTTTGAACAATATTGAGAATTATTATTATTATTTTTTATTTTTGAGCAAATATTTAGATTTTTTTTTTCTTTTTGAGGCATGGGCATGCCCTTTAAAAATGAATGTCTCAATGGATGTATTCTCATTACCTGAATTTTTATAAGGCGTGTAAAAAAAATTATTGTACAAATTTGAAAGTAATTTTTCCTGAATAAACTCATCTCCGAATTTTTTATCTGCATATCAGAAAAGCTTTAATAAGACTTTCAATGAGACAAAAGTAGTTGCGCATGAAAGAGAATCACTTTATCCAGCACTAAATCAGGTCGTGCCGCTTGAATTAGGGACTTGGGATCTCTCAAATTTGGTCATATGAAAGAAAAGTCTCTGGATTACTTACAATCAAATTTATTGTTACAAGAAGGTGCATGTTGTATTATTTTTAAAAATGATTGAATATACGAGTCACAAGATAACATCAAAAAAAAAATTCTTTTAAAAGAAATCGGTAATTAGGCAATAAGCCGTTCAGTTAATATAGATATATTGATCCCAGTTTGTTATTGTCAATAAGAACACTGTAGTATGGCGTGGGATCGGATTCATGAATATGAATTCCGAATTTTCAGAATCAGGATTAGATTTAAGTTTTTCCGCCCCAATCATGATGTTCAACCTTACATGCTTATTTTTAATTGGCTCAACAAAAGTTTGGCGTAAGTATAAATGATTACATAATGAAAAATACGTTGCGATAGAAATAAAATAAGCCGTAAAAAAAGCAATGAAAGCAATGAAATAATAAGACATATAGATTCGCATTTTATGGTCTAGGATTAAATTACTTCCAAAGCATCATATTATTTCGTTAATTACTTAGAACTTTCCTGACTTCAATGTTAGAAACGTATGAGAAAATAGCAAAAAAGATTTTGCAACGCAAGTTCAATAAATCATTTTTATTATTTCAAAATACTCTTCCTTTATACAAATTTAATTTTCAACTTTTCTAAGTTAATTTCCTCCTTTTGTAATGCTTTTGGGTATTTATAAATTTATTCCTTTTACCATTGTAACTTTTCCTATTGTCTAGATAAAAGTTTCCAAGTGTTATTTATTATGTTGACATTTATTAAATGATGTTATATCATCAATAAAATAGTTTAAATCTTTTTCACGTGTAATCCAATGTCATATTGTGGTTGTGATAGTAGGCATTGTGGTTGCGAAAGAGGTTATTGTTATGGTGATTGAATCCTTGACTTTCATTCTAATTTTTTAAAATATAAAAATTTGATTTATATTTCATTATTAATGGTTTTTGGTCATATGAATATCACTTCCACTTTCAAGCTATCCCGATATCTTTGAATTGAAAAAAGTTGTCTTGGAATTGAATATGCTTCCTTGCTAAGGGCAATCTGGATCGGTGCAATATACAATGTAACTTCTTTAATTCTTCTATCTTTTTCTCGATCTTTAGTTCCAAAGACATTGGATATAAAATGTGCATAATCTTTGATTTAAAGAAAAATTAACTTCGTTTATATTAAAAAATACTTGTATTCATCAATCTTAAAATTTATCATCAACGCTTACCAATAGGAACTACGAAGATACGAAGGTTTTGTCATTAAATTCCAATATAGGTTCCATCAAACGTGCCAAGTTTTTTAATGTCATCTTTGGTTTAAATTTTTAAGGTCGAGATAAACTTTCCAGGTTTCCATTGAGGTTGTTCTTTGAACAAGTTCTTCACGAAGGAGTAATTTTATAAAATTGCAACGGTTAAATTCGATATCAAAACTTTTGATATCGGAAACTTCGCCAATGATTACATTGACCTAGAATCAAATTATTTAGAAATTCTGTCATTTCGTTTATGTAAAGCAATTTAATTTTTTAGTAAAAAATCTCAAGATAGTTTGAGGAAATTGAAATGGTTTGAGATATAAATATACTGTAAAGATCTTTTTCGTGATTATAGACTTTTGATTTGATGACGAAATACAGCAAATGATAAAGATACTTCGAACAACAAATTAATCATATTATGCATGGATAATATGTTTTGCGGTTATTGCATTGAATCTCTTCATTGGGTTGGCATTCTCAGGATTTACTCAAGAGTATTTATTAAAAGGCGAATTTTTCGCGCGTTATAACATATCGCGTTTTTTTAGGACGTGTGAATTCACGGGCACGTTACGTCACAAATTTTTTTTTGAAAATATTAACGTTACTTTTCAATAAAAGGTAAAGATAAATTACAAGTTTACGTTTAAATAATAATTAAAAACTTTTTTTTTAATCAAAAATTCCAAAATCTTTATCTCCTACTTTAACTAAACCCATATTCCTTCTTTTCTCTTTACCTTTGGTATAATTTCTTTTATTATATTGAAATTTTTTCTTATTATTAGATTTTTTTAAGGATTTAGCTACACGTTCTTTGATATCTGATTCTGTTAAACGTGTTGTCGAAGTGGTAGTATTAGATATTATTGAAGAATTTGATTTGGAATTTTTAATTATATCCCTATGTGCTTTATATTTCCTATTGTTATTTAAAAGTTCCGGTTCTAAATCAAGATCACTCTTTTCATCCGAAGTATAATTAGAAGTTATAACATCACCAGGATTAGAATCTAAATCCTATAATTCAAAAGAATAGAAATCGTAAGAACCATGTCCTGTTTAATGTGAATTAAGTAAAAAGATTTATACCTCTGAATCGCTATGGCTTCCTTCTTCAGTTTCAGACACCTCTACATCCTTTATCATTTCAGAAGGTTCATTCTCATGTTCAATGTAATCTGAATTATCGTCAGATATACTTCCGACCTCATCTTCCTCTATATCTTGTTTTTCACTTAATTCTGCTTGATACTGTAAATTATTTTTTTTTATTTGTTAAAAAAAGAAGATATTCAACTAATAATTCAAAGAATCTTGATTCCGAAATTCATTACCGATTCTAATTCTTCTTGATGTTGCTTAGTGAATCCACTAGCAGAAACTTGAACATCCAAAAAAAATTCTCGATTCACATCTAATTTAAACTTTGGAGATATCATACTCTCGTAATTATATCTTTTACGAAAATAATTACGAATACATTCAACATCTCGATTAAAGTACCTACAAATTCAATAAAATTTAACTTCGATTTATATAAAATCTGAAACCTTTCCATGAAAAAAAACCTTACCATTCAGCGTTATAGTGTGATATAGAAACCATTTGAGGAAAATCAATTAATATAGGATCCCCATTATCTTTTACAAGGATATTAAATTCATTAAAGTCACCATGTATGAGACCATATTGTGCTAATTTTACTATTAAATTCATCAAGTCAGAATAAAGTTTTCCTGGATCTTTTACTTCTGATATTTGACGGCTATAAAGAAGAAGAAGATAATGAATGGGAAAAGGTTTATTATTTTTGAGAATAGAAGAAAAAGGAAATATGACGACGTACAGTGGATACGCGTCTATTAATTCCATCACTACACAATGTCTAACTTGGTCGATTGGTTGTGGTACAGGAAATCCATTGTCATACAAGACCTATTTTACAAAATTCGGTTAAAGCAATTTTTTTTTTTTCATTGTGACGAAAAAAAACCATTTCAAGCCTTACTTTCATAAATGCGTATTCTTTCATTGCTGCTAATCGTGACATATACATCCACGAAGCAGACTTACGTTTTTGAAGATAATCACGTTTTGATTTTATGGCACGAAAAGAAACGCGTCCAAGTCTAATTATATGACGATTTAATCATTATGAAAATAACAACAGAAGAGGAATGTTGTGTATATAATGTTCTTACCTATGAACTTTCAATACAAGTTGATTTTCACTTTCATCAGCAACAATATATATGTCTTAAATGAGAAAATAGATCAGAAAAAAATACTGATGTGGATGTATAGATAAATATATGCAATATGACGTCAAATACCGGATTCTTTTCCAACACCGATTTGATTGCCTACAGAAGATACGCTTCCACGTTTGACAAAGGTTTTTAAAGCGAGATAATCATATCCACCATAAGTTAACCTATATCCATCATCTAATAAACATCAACAATTAAAATTATTCCAAAGTCAAATAATTAACAAGAAAAAAAAATTTTTTTTGAATCATACATTTTGCATTTTTGATTTTTGCTACTAAATTTTTCTTTGCCAATTCTCCGATAATTTTATGACTACCACCGTGACGAAGACCAGCAATTTGAGCAATTAAAGTTAATGGAACGAGTTCATGATTCTTTGACCCCATTTCTACCTATATTCACGTAATTTTATTTAGACTAAATACTAAATTAATTGAACTCGTATATTAAAAAAAATGACATACAGCTGTTAGAACTCGGAATTCATCCGAAGACATGTATCGAAGTACTTTGACATCTAGTTTCATTATGGGTTATTATCGTATGTAAAATAATCCAAATATCGCAAATGCAAGAGAGCTATTTTTTAAAGAAATCAAGAAACCATTCTTATTGGTCAAATCATATTCATATGGGCGTTTACGATCAATTCGATCTGATAACTTCCAGATCTTTTTGTACGACACCGGATGAAAAGCAAAAGTTAATGAATGGAGACGCGCATTATTTTTTTTTATTCAATTTTCTAACGAATTTTATTGGCTTAATTTGGGTGATACAAAATTAACAAACGGGGTCCGGGAAAACGTTTTGGTTGACTATAAGAAAAATAAGAAAAAAAAAGCCCAAATCTTCATGACCTAATTGGTTGGTGGTTTTTTTTCTAAAAGTAATATCGTCTTACACAACAAAGGTTTCTAAATGAAGTTAAAAGGAAAGAGGTAAATTACTTAAAATATTCTAAAATAGCAGATAGCTTATTTTGATTAACTTGAGTAAAAGACAATAGAATTTCAGAAATTTTAAAAATAATCAAATGTAAATATGTAAATCCAATCCTCAACATGATGATTGTAAATCTTTTCTCGTTTTTTTTTTAAAAAGGAAGTAATTATCAGATTTATTGTTCACTAGATTGTAAAGAAGAACAATTTTTGGGTTAAAATTGTAATAGTCTTTGTGCTTGTACTGATATAAATAGAGATTTCCAGTGTATGAAATGAATACAAAATAATAACCGCGCATAAAAAAAATACAAGAAAATTTCCGATCATTAATCACATCACATGATCTGGTAATTGTAATATGTAAGAATGAATACCATATTTGATTATTTGATTACATGACGACATTCGTAGTTCTTCAAATTCACGTTTGTTTATTTACTTTTGTCTCTCATTATCCCCTTAAGAGAGTTTTCCCAACAGGCATTTTCTTATAACATAGCCAGTCGTTAGTTGTTGTTTATTAACTTTGTATTCAACAGTAAGTATTTTCCGTGTAAGGTTTAGATCAAAACTAAATATTGTTTGTTTTTTTTTATTATTATTTTTTACAAGTTATATGAGCTATTTTATTTAAAAAGTTTACAGTTTTCATATTGTAAATATTTTCGTGTTCGGTCTGCATAATAATAAAGTTCAGAAATATAAAAAAAAGACAACTTGTCTAAAAAGTATGCCACGCAGTAAACAAGAAGAAGAGGTGGACGTTGCTGATCAGTTTCTGAACTATGACGGAGATGTAACAACAACCGTCGAAGCTGAAGGGACCTCGGTAGATCAACCGGAACCAGATATTTCGACTACAGACAAAATAGAAGAGCAACCACCGACAAGTACTCCAAAGAATGAACAGCCAACAATTGAAGACCCTTCAAATGAAAAGGAAAATAAAGATCCCGAAGAGGAAGTGGTCCAAGAACAATCGAACGGTAATGACAAAAATGAGAAAGACGAGGATGAAGCTGCTGAAGTTTACGAAGTAGAGGCTGTGCTTGAACATAATAAGAGTAAAGTAAGTGATAATATGAATTCTCTCACTATCTTTTTTTCTCATAATTAATTAACATTTGCTATTAGGGTAAAACGTATTACTTAATTAAATGGAAAGGTAATTAATATTAAAATCTTTTTTTTTTAAAAAAAAGGGGCACTTTCATGTTTTTTTTTATTAATTTTAAATTAAAATTAATTCAATTTTTTTTCCTTTAAAAAAAAATTCGAAAGGCTATAGTCAAGAAGAGTCTACTTGGGAAGATGAGGACAACGTGTATGAATAATTTATTAAATAATAATTTTATGTTGGATAAAGTGGTAACGAATATTTATATAATAAATCTATAATTATTTATAATTATTTGGGTTAATAGTTTCGCTGAAGATTTAGTAAAAGATTATTGGACAAAATTAAATTCTGAAGAACCAAAGGTTAGAGAGACCAGGAAAGGTAGAAAAAGGGCTGCTACTGCTCCTCCTCCCATCCCATCTAAAAAAGAAACGAAGAAAGCACGTATGTCTACTTCACCAAAAAAAGCGAAAACAGTCAGAGTTAAAATAGATGAAGATTTTGATCATGACGAAGATTGGGAGAGTCTAGTTTCAGGGGTTGAGACGGTCACTCGTGATGATAAATCTGGCGAACTACTGGTCTATTTGAAATGGTAAATAGAATATTCTTCAATTTTATGGAAAAAATTTTTTTTTTTTTAAATTCTAACTTTATAAATTTTGTATTAAGGAAAAATGGTGACACCTCGAGACATCCAGCTAAAGAAGCCAATATCAAATGCCCTCAAAAGGTAAATTTTATCTTTTATATTTTTTAATTGAATTGAAGGATTATATAAATTCATTCGGTAAATTAACTTATTTTATTTTATTTATTTATTATTTTTTTAGATGATAAAATTTTATGAACAGCGCCTGACCTTTGCTGCCCCACAACAAAAGTCTTAATCACAATGAATTCAATTAGACGTATAGGATCATTCCTTCGATCTGAATATTCAAAATAATCTTTTTTAGCATGCATTTTTATTCTCAATGCAGTTGGAATGTAAATAGAACATTATTAATAGTGTTCCTCGCTCTTATTATATTCGATTTTATTCTCTATTTTTTTTTTTTTTTTTTTTTTGTTTTTTTTTCTTTCTTCTCTTCCTTTATTTCTGGTAAGTTTATTTCTAATTGATGGTTGCACGGTTGAGAAAACATATAATATTTTTCATTCGGAGGTAAAGTATAATGTGATATTCAAAAAAAAAAAAAAAAAAAAAAAAAAAAAAAAACTACTAAATAAATACATCATTTCTTATTTTTTTCTCTGATATTTTTTTTTTAAAAAAAAAATAAAAAATTATTAAATAAAAAATAATTTTATAATTATATTATTTGGATTCTCTCAAATTTTAACTTTTATGTGATTGACACGCGATATTTGATTTTCAAGTCCTGTAGATTATTTGCTATAAAAAAATTCCTTCACAAGTCAAAATTAGCATACACAAAATTGCATGGCGTGAATTGAATTGCGAATTACGAATTAGATAGATATTAGTAATCATTGAATGCATATAAAACCACGAAAAAAAAAAATATATTTTTTTTTTTTGTTTTTCCTCCGTTCCCTTTTTATCACTAATGTCCTTGCTTTTAAAACCTGTTTCAAGAATTACAAACACTATTGATATTCGTTCAAAATTTTTAATTAATACCGTTAAGAATTTATCTAATACAAGAATTAACTTTCAACAAAAAAACGGGTTCCCTTTACAACGAATAAGTTTTCAAACAATTCACCAAAAAGACATGCATTCAAAAGTTGTTATTATTGGTTCCGGCCCGGCTGGTCACACTGCCGCACTTTACTTATCAAGGGCAACTTTAGAACCCGTAATGTTTGAGGGTTTCCTTGCGAACGGGTTTGCCGCGGGTGGTCAAGTAAGAATTCGTTCTTAATAATAATTTTTTTTTTTTTTGAGGGAGAAGTCGAAACTTTCGAAAATAAGCGCGTTTGATCTAATAATTCTCCTTTTATATATATTTATAAATGTGTATTAAAAAAAAATATAGCTTACCACTACGACTGATGTGGAAAATTATCCCGGATTTCCTGAAGGAATCATGGGTCAAGAAATGATGGAGAAATTTCGACAGCAAAGTTTAAGATTTGGGACCAATATCATCACCGAAACCATATCAAAGATTGATCTTTCATCTAGACCCTTTAAATTATGGCGTGAAGGGGCGGAAAATCAAGCAACTGACACGGCGGATTCATTAATCGTGGCTACTGGTGCAGCGGCAAAAAGGTTAAATCTTCCAGGTGAAGATGTTTATTGGCAAAAAGGGATTTCCGCTTGCGCTGTTTGTGATGGTGCGGTTCCCATTTTTAGGAATAAACCTTTGGCCGTTGTGGGTGGTGGAGATTCAGCCGCGGAGGAAGCTTTGTTTCTTACAAAATATGCTTCTCACGTTTATGTACTCGTTCGTAGGGATAAACTTCGTGCTTCTAAAGTGATGGCAAATCGATTATTATCTAATCCAAAAGTTACAGTCATTTGGAACACTATTCCAATCGAATGTAAAGGTGATGGACAGCTTCTTAAATTGTTGAGTACCAAAAATACAAAGTCCGGAGAAGAAAAAGAATTGGCCGTTAACGGGTTGTTTTATGCTATCGGTCACGTTCCTGCTACCGAATTAGTGAAAGATCAATTGGAATTAGATGTTGATGGATATATTATTACTAAACCTGATAGCACTTATACTAATGTTGAAGGTGTCTTTGCTGCTGGTGATGTTAAAGACAAAAAATATAGACAAGCCATTACCAGTGCCGGTTCTGGTTGTATGGCAGCTTTAGAATGTGAACGTTGGTTAAGCGAACAACTCTCCGAATAAAAATAAATTTTATTTGAGTTGCACTTTATTTTCATGCATTAAAATTAGAATATTTATTAGCATTTATTTATGTTTCTCTTGAAAGTAACATCATTAAAAAAAAAAAAAAAAAAAATATTTACATATTATTACCATAATAATAAACATGATGAAAATGTATATATATATATATATTAAAATTAATATTATATTATTAATATACAAATAATAATAATAATAATCATATTTTATTTATTCAATCCTAGCCACGCTCTTCGATCCCTCTTCATAGGAATCCGTTGAGGAGTTATAAAATTATCTGAAGTATTTTGAAATTGCCTTGGTATGGGATAATTCGAAGGCGTTTGAGGTGGATGATCATTTGACATCGATTCTAGATGATTGATATAAAAACAATAAAAATGAATTTTAATAATATAAATTGACATTCTTTTAATGAACAATTTAATCCTTACGCGTATTATGTAACTGTTTCCACGTCACACGCGGAGTAGATGCTCGGGGATAGTTACTTTCGGAAAAAGAAGCCGAATAACTTTCTATAGGTGGTGGCATCATAGTTCTGGTATTACGTATGTTGAATTATAACTTTGATTATTAAAACTCTAATTTTTTTAAAAAAAAAAAATTTTTTTTATTACCTTGATTGACTAAATGCTTGGTTACGAGATATGTTATGATTACTTGAATATCCTTGTTGTGAATAACAATCATGAGGTTCATGTTGTTTGAGTTGAATCGTTGGTGAAGCCGTTGAGATTGGTAATGATAAACGTCTAGGTGGAATTGGAGTAATTGGTTGACGCGTCTTTGAATATAAAAAAAAAAAAAACCATTGAAATCATTGAGATTGAAGTAATAGAATAAGTGTCAAAGCAATAATAATATAACCTACCCGAGTTGGTGTAACATTACAACTTTGAGATTTCGGAGTTGATGATTTAGGGAGCCTACTTAAATGAGATGTAATTCATTATGAAATAAAAATAAAAATAATAAAATGAGTATAATCAAATTGAATAAAAACCTGGTCGTCGGCGATTCCAATGATCTCTTCTTTGAATTATTTGAACTGATCTCTTGCAATTGAGATTTAAGTCGATTATTTTCTTCTTTAAGACTTTGTAATTCACTTACAAGGATCAAATTACGAATAAGGATATAAAAATTTGATGAAATCTAATAATCAAGTAACTTTTTAAAACAATTTACTTTTTAATTTCTTTATATTGTTGTAATTCTTTTTGTGTAATGTCGAGCATTTGACTTTGTTGAATCACTTTGTCTTTCAAAAATTCAATCAATGAAATCGTATTGTTCTGTTGAAACTATTTTGCGATAAAATCAAAGTTAAAATAGTAAAGTTCGATTTGATCAATTCAACAAATTTCTTTACTTTTATAATATCCGATGCCTCATCCAAAATCTCGTGTGCAGGTCGAAAAAACATGGCAAGTTCAATAGGAAGCTACGCATTTTTAATATAATAGATTTTATTATTATAGATAAAGTAAATCAGGATATTTTTTCCCGAAAGGAAAAGAACTCACATTCTTAGTAAGTTCAACTGCATTACACTTTTGAATGCAAATGGGGCAGGTATGGGAATTATCTAAAAGAATTTTCCCAAACATTCAAAATTGACATTTTTCCTCAAATGACGGAAAATTTTAAAAAACGCGTAAAATGTCAAAACTTATACCTCGATTAGTTTCTTCGCGTTTATTTAAACACGAGTGGCATACTATATGCCCACAACCCGTTAGCCAAAATCGTATTTGGTCTTCTTGCGAAGACAAAGGATATGAACGACAACAATTACAATGGATAAAGTTGGCATACATTGCGATAAGAATTAATGCTATCAATGCTAACACCTTAATTAAATATCTAATTGTAGATCCTTTTCCTAATCAATGTTGCACGACAAAAAAAAAGTATGCATACTTCAAAAAAATGTCTCTACAAAGTTTAAGAAATAAACCTAGACGGCCTTTTTGGAAACTTCCCCAACATCGTTTACCAGTCCTATCTTTATACAAAAGTTTGCTTAAATTATCCAAATCATTTCCCGATGACATTCATCAAAAATATTTATTTTACCATATTCGTCAAAAATTTAGGTTAAGGAGGCATGAAACTTCAATAACTAAAACAATTAACTATTTAACAGAGGCTCAAGAGGTGAAGAATTGTAATTAATAATAATTCCTAATTATCACTTTAGAATAATAAGCTTGATATTTTTGTGGATTTTTGATGAAGTGTAAATCTACTATAGTAAAAGCGCTTAAAGGAGATAAAGAAGCTTTCCAATATATTGATGACTTAGCATGGGGTAGAAAAGGGAGACTTAAAGAAGTTCTTGATATCGTAAGTTAATTAATGATTAATTAATTGTTTAAATACTAATCTGTCATATTAACTTTGTTTCTGATATAATCCATCAATTCAGTTGGAAAATTGGAAGAAGGTAATTTTAAGTACCTACAGTATAATTTACTTTTTTTTCCAAATTAATCAACTCCTAACATATAAATTTATCTATATTATAGCCTAAATTGCATAAATTCGTCAAGGATACACGTACTTATGGTAATCGCGCACGTGATCCTCATCCCTCCTATAGAATTCCTTTAGACAAACGTTTATATACTCCTCCAGAATACAAGGAACCAATAAAAATATTTCCAAAGAAAAAACATCCTTTTAGACCAAATCTACGTAGATATACAGTAGTTACTCAGTTGGGTTATAAACTTTGGAGAGTTCGAGGATGGAAACAACCCACTTGGATTTCCTTGATGATGAATAAACGTATAAAAGCACATCAGAGACGTATTGATAGATATCATCAACTGGAAGAACAACTTGCGATGGTTAGATTAGAACAACGCATGCTTCGTATGTTAGACCCAACGTTAGCTCAAGAGGAAAAAGAATTTGGTATGTTGTTTTATTTAAAATTTTTGTCTTGATTCCCTTCATTTATTTATTATTGATTTTGCAGAAAAGAGAATACTTAATGAACTAAACGAAAGCAAAAAGTATCATGATAGAATACTTAAGATGCAAGCAAAAAAAGATGAATTAGATGATGCAGACATATAGAATCCTAGCATTCATGATTTAAAAATTGGTGGTCGATCTATAATCTTTAAAATTGCAAAGAATTTTTTTTTATAATGTGCATTTAATTAAAGCAAGCTGATTATTTTTTGGTACATTAAAATTTAAACAACTTAATAATTTTTTTATGTATAGATTAAATAACTTTTATATCATAATTTTAATTAATCTTCTAATTTCAAAAAATTTTGAATACTAAGACTTAAAGCATCTATTTCAGCTTGATAAGCTTTGAGCTATTATGGTGAATATTAGTTAAGTAAATTAGAAAATTAGGTAAGAAATAATTTAAATAGATTGAATGATTAACTAATTTAATCAATAATTTTTCATACCCTAATGTCATCAGCTTCTTTTACGTCTGCTGGAACTTTGTTTTCATAATCATGAGTCGATGTTCTCTTTTGAAGTGCCGTTAGTAACTGATTTGTTTTATCAAGTTTCTTTTGGAACTTTAAAACTTCAGCACCAATATCAACACATCCCTAACATAAATTATGATTAATTATAATAGAAATGTATGTGTTTATACTATGGAGAATTTGTCTTACCTTAACCATTAATAAGACATTGACTTCATCATTAACTGTGCTTATAGCACAGCCAGCCGGAATAGTTTCCCCTTTCTGGAAAACATGTACAGACTTGGCACTTTTTACTAGAGTGGTAATGCTTTGTTCTTGTGACCTAAGAAAACTAGCAGTAGTTTCGGAGACAGTCTGAATAAACACTAATAGATCATTAATTAAAAGTGTGAGAACTTGATAAGATTATAATAGACAATTCAGAGAAGCATCAGATATTTTACGTGAGGCATTGGACTGGATATTATATTCAACAGTGAGGGACCTAGCAGCCTTTATTATAGAGAATACAAGTTCAAATCGTTCTTCAGCCTGTGGATTATGATATTCTGATTCCTCAACAGGATACCTGGCTTTGACAATGGTTGGAATATTATCTCCAGGACGTCGAGGTAAACGTTGATATAATTCTTCTGTCACAAATGGCATAAATGGATGAAGGAGTTTAAGCCCAGATTCTAAACAAGTATATAAAGTATCTTGAGCTGATCGTTTGCGCTCCAAATTTTCAACAATTGATGTATCGGCATCTGTTAATGGTTTTATCAATTCCTATATATTTTAATAGAAATAATTATTGTTAAAAAATTTATAATATCAAAAATTATTAATAAAAAAAGAAACATTTATTATATACAATATAAACGTCACAAAATTCATATAACCAAAAGTTATACACTGCTGTGGTTGCAACCATAAAATTTCTTTCGTGCAAAGCTTTATTTGTTTCAATGGTACTTTGGTTTAGCTTGTGTAATACCCATTGTTCAGTTAATGACTCTTTACCGGTTTTCTAAGAATAAAATAAAGTATATATGAGTTATTACAAAATCATTTAACTACAAAGAAATTAGCCTAACATACTTTGCCATTTTCTCTTGGCTTAAAATCATCTCCTAATTTCATTAACGCAAATCTAGTGGCATTCCATAATTTATTACAGAATTTTCTATAACCTTCTACGCGAAGGATATCAAGATTAATATCTCGACCTAGAATGTCGATAATACATTATTATCATGTGCAATAATAAAAAAAAAAATGAATGACCATTAAAGGATAAAATTACCTCCTGAACTATATGCACATAACGCGAATCTCAATGCATCAGTACCACATTCAGGGATACCATTTGGAAAATCGGCTTTTTGACCATCTTTCGCTCTTTCTATTTCACGATTGTCAAGGTTCCCTTCATATAGTTTGGAATGTAATTTATCCAATGTTATACCTTGAATTACGTCCACCGGATCGATTACATTTCCCAATGATTTACTCATCTTGCGCCCATGTGCGTCTCTAATCATTGCGTGACAAAACACCTCTTTAAAAGGAACCTGTCCAGTTAGTTTCATACCCAACATAACCATTCTAGCTACCCAGAAAAATAAAATATCCCATCCAGTTTCTAAAAGTGATGTGGGATAAAACGTTTTTAGGTCTTGTGTCTGTGGATGTGTAATCATTGTTACTAAAAATAATTCAATCAGAACTTTTGAAAATAAATAAATTATGAATATACATTATTTGGCCAACCAAAAATAGAAAATGGCCATAATCCGGAAGAAAACCAAGTGTCCAACACATCCGGATCTTGTTTCAGGGTGAAATCAATATTTGGAAATTTTTGCTTTGCCTTTTCATGAGCCTCTTCTAAATTACGACCTGATATCCAAAATTTGCCATCCGCGAGCTAATGTTTATTAAAGGAAAATAATAAAATTACTTAAAACAACCAAAAAAAAAAAATATCTAGAAATTTTTTTACATACATCTTGATCCTGGTTTGAGATTTTTATGAAATAAGCAGGGACTTGATGTCCCCACCACAGCTGGCGTGAAATACACCAATCTTGAATGTTACCAAGCCATCTAAACCATTCTTTTTCTGATGCCTTGGGGAAAATGCGCAATTTCCCTTCTTCTACAGCCTATTTAATTTATTGAAGAATATATATAAAAAAATATATACATAATTTTTTTGTAAAATGAAATAAAAAAATAAAATAACAAACCTTCATCGCATCTTTAGCCATATCGGAACAACTAACCCACCATTGAGGTTTTAATAGTGGTTCGATTAAATCTCCTGATTTACTACAAAACGAAATAAAAAAAAATATTTGCATAACAAAAATCTTTAATTTATTAAAAGAAAGGTTCAATATCTTACGAGCAAATGGGAACGGTCATAGGATTTTCTATAGTCTCAACATATAAGCCTTTTTCTTTAAGTGCGTCGACAACAGCTTTACGAACGTGAAACCTCTTCATTCCCTATAATATCATAAAAGTCAATCAAATGATCCGTAATATAAAATAAAGATGAAGTAATACTGACTTACTTGGAAAGGAGCGCCATTTGCATTTAAAGTACCATCATCATTTAAGATATTGATGAATTCGAGATCGTGTCTTTTCCCAACTTCATAATCATTAAAATCATGAGCTGGCGTGATTTTGACAGCACCAGTACCGAAAGCCATATCAACTATAATATCATCAAGAACGATGGGAAGCCTTCTTCCATTAAATGGATGAATGGCGAACTTGCCATGAAGGTGCTTTTTCACAATTCATAATTAATAAAATCATTACTTAAACTAAAAAAATTATATAAAACTTTTAAATCACGCGTAATATTTAAAGCTCACCTTATAACGTTCATCCTTGGGATGAATAGCAATGCCCGTATCACCAAGCATAGTTTCTGGACGAGTTGTAGCAACAACAATTCTCTCGTCTAAGTTATATAAAACATAAATAAATTTCAATCAAAAAAGTATCTTCTAATTATTGTAAAATTATTAGATAATATTACCAGAATTTTCAATAGAATATCCAAATGATGTCAAAACACCAAATTCAAACTTTTCTTCTGGATCATACCCCGGCACTGACATTAGTGTGCGTCCAGATATGTCTTTATTTTCAACTTCAAGATTTGACAAAGAGGTATTAAGTCTAACGCACCAATTTATCAACCGAGTTGATCTGTAAATAATTCCTTCTTCTTGTAACCGACAAAATGTTTCAACAACAGCTCTGTTTTGTTTCTAAATATTGAATAATGAGAAAGAATTTTAAAAATTAATAAAAAATGTCGCAATTAAACTAACCTCATCCATTGTGAAAACATTTCTTTCCCATTCATAAGAACCGCCAAGTCGTTTCAACTGTGAGTGAATACGATCACCATATCTTGTTACAACCAATTTAAATCAATTTAAAATATATCATAAAAGCGCGGAAAAAAAAAGAATTTAAAACACATACTTATTTTTCCATTTCCAAATTTCGTTTACAAATGCTTCACGTCCAAGATCATGACGTGTTTGTTGCTTTTCTTTCCATAATTTATTTTCTACAACAGATTGTGTTGAAATACCAGCATGATCAATTCCAGGATTAAATAATACAGTTTTGCCTAACATTCGATTCCTAATTAAAATCTAGAGTTAAAATACAATGTAATAGATTGAAAACTAAATTGCGAAACTTGACCGACGTACCATCTACATAAAACGTCTTGGATAGCTACGGTCAAACCATGACCAATATGAAGAGAACCTGTCACATTTGGTGGAGGAGCAGGGACAACAAATATCCCTTCAGAATTAGATTTGCCATCCGGAGTTAATTCTGGTTTGAAAAAACCTTGCTTTTCCCACCATGCATACCAAGCAGCTTCAACGGCTTTAGGATTATAAGAGGAAGCCATAAGATTGGACATATCTTAAAAAGCAAAATTGATTTCTTAATTACTAAACTAACGTGGCTTTCCTTAAGAATCATGATGATAATAATACCTTTCTTTTCACCAAGAGGTGTGTTATCAATAAATAATTCTTCATTTTTTGTTTCCTTTTCAAATTTAGGTTTTTTCTCTTTTTCCTTTTTTTTCTCGCCTTCAGCTGTCTAATTTGTAATAAAGTTGTTAATAAAACTGTCTATTTTTCTAAGTCATTTCAAGCGAGCCATAAAAAAATTTTGATTACATTGTTATTGGCAGAAAGCTTTGCTTGTTTAGCCGCGAATTTTGCAAGTTTTGCTTGTCTCTTTGCCTCGTTTTTATCTGCATTTTTTGACTTAGGTATAGTATTATCAGACCCGGCAGGAGTCTGAGAAGTTCCACCAGCTTTTGAATTTTCTTTGGTATTCATGATTGAAAAAGATAATCTATAAATTTTTGTTCTGAAATATTTATAATTTTTTTTGTATGGCGCAGTAGGATGACTAAAACGACGATTAAGGGAAAATCAATTCGCGAAAAAAAAACCTTTTTCTTACAACATAATATTTAAGAACCGTTCGATGAAACTCATAAGCATTAATAAAGTGTAAAGTTGTAAAAAAGTTTTTGTGCGAATTCTCTAGGTGTTTTGTCTAGTTTAGAGTTTGGATCCGAGTATCCATATTATCCATGGATATATGGGGCCTTTGCAATAGAAAGGGGGGAAACTGCCGGAAAAATTAATTTTACTTTTATATGCCAAATATGATTTTTAGGCTGAAATATGTTCAAATTTAGCATTAACTCATTTTTGATTTTTCCGGCAGTTTCCCCCCTTTCTATTGCAAAGGCCCCATATATCCATAATATAAATTTAATATCCGTTATCCATATAAAAATTAAACCTGGATATGGATAATTTAAAAAAAAATTGATCGATATACGGATAATACGGATCATATTATCCATGGATATACGGATAATATGGATATTGATAAAATCGTCCCCAAAGGAATGATATATCATCGTTTTGAACAATTATTTTTTTCATCATTTTCCTTAGAACGATTATTTTTTCATCGTTCTTTTGGAACAATTCAATTATCGTTCCTTAAGAATGATACTTTTTCATCGTTCTTTTGGAACGATTAATTATCATTCTAAAGAACGATATTTTTTTCATCATTCTTTTGGAACGATTCAATTATTGTTTCTTAAGAATGATATTTTTTCATTGTTCTTTTGGAATGATTAATTATCGTTAGAGCTCCGAACAGGTCGGTAATTGACTTGACCCGACCTGATAAGGTCAGGTCGGGTCAGACATAAAATTGACCTGAATTAAATATACATTTGA